GGGAGGAGCCTGGCCACCCTGAGGGGACCCCAAGAGGAGGGGACCCCAAGGGGAGACTCCTCTGCAGCGGGGAGGGGGGCGGGGGGGTGTGGACGCCCACGTGAGCTGCTCTCACATCTGCTGGTTCTCACACTCCACCAGGGAAGGGCTGCTGCTGCCGTCCCTAATTTGATGAGGAGAAACCCGAGGCTTTCACCAAGGCTGTGCGTCACACTCATGCTGTGTGGGGCTCGCCCAACAGCAGGGGGCTGCGAGGGCCAGGTGCCGGCTCTCCAGCTCTGTCAGCTCTTGGACGAAAGCTATCTGAGAAGGCCGAGGGCAGCAGGGTCTGGAGTTGAGGTTTCCGGGAAGTGGGGTGTCCACCAATTGGTAGTGCAGCCAGCTCCTTACTGGGGTAGGAGCTGTTTCTGTGGCGACGGTAATAAACGTCAAGTGCAGAAGCACAGCCCCATATGAGGACACTCGAGTCCTCGCAGCCTCGTGCTGGAGAGGGGATGGTTTAGGAAAAATGAAAGCTCAGGTGCAACAGCTGTGTGTTTGCCCCTTTTTTCTGGGCTGAAAAATTTTCTTCCAACATCCATTAAAACAGCCACAAAAAGGGGTCTGCCTGGTGGCACAAGCGGTTAAAAGTGTGTGCTCCGCTTCGGCGGCCTGAGGTTCGCGGGTTCAGATCCCAGGCTCTCACCGATGAACTGCGTGTCATGCCATGCTGCAGAGGCGTCCCATATAAAAGTAGAGGAAGATGGGAACGGATGTTAGCTCAGGGCCAGTCTTCCTCGGCAAAAAAGAGGAGGATTGGCATCGGATGTTAGCTCAGGGCTGATCTTACTCACACACACACACAAAAAAACCACCACAGAAAATGCCAGTGGAAGTCCTGTCTCCCTCTAGAAGTGAGCATGGTGAGGGAGCACAGGGGAGATCCTGCCCCTCAGGTCCCAGCCCTTGGTGGAAGGTGGACCCAGCCCCAGCAACAGAGAGGCGGGGGCCCTCCTGGCTGCCAGCCCTGGGGCAGGGGCCTCTGGAGCCTACCGCCACTCTCAGGAAGGTGGAGGGCTGAGGTCTCCTGGGTGCGGGGTGGGGTGCCCCTTATTCACTGACATGTTCTCACTAGGAATTAAAACACCTGCCACTAATTACCCACTTTTCAGAAATGTAGGTGAACACACCCATGACAAATTACATCATCCTAGCCAGAGACATTGAAAGCTTTACAGGAAGAAAAGGACCCCTGTCCGCAGCAGGTGTAGGGACAAGCACAGGGAGGGAGAGCAGTGGGTGGCCAGCGGCCTGCCTGAGCCCCCGCCTGGAGGCCACGGCCCACCTGGCTCTGGTGTTGCATGTAGGGTGCACAGCGCTGCCCAGGGGAGGGGGTGAGAGCCATGAGCTGCTCAACTTACCACGAGGCTAGGGCCCCGGCCAGCTCCTGCTCCAGGGCCAGCCCCTGCTGGACACCAAGGCATCCCAGGCAGGGGTGCGCTGCTCCTCTTCCCAGGGCCCCTCCCACGGGCACCCACTCACAGCCCCTCACAGAGAACACCAGGGCTCTCTTAGTGGCCATGGGGTTTGAGTGACTGTTGCTTCTGAGGTCTGTCAAGACTGCAGCTGATGCTGCTTTTCTCCAGGAAGGCGGAGGCCCTGGCTCAGTCCTGCAGAGGGCAAGGGCGCATCTCCTATCATCAGCAGGAGTGGGCAGGCAGCTGAGTGCCTGTGCTAAGGGCCCCCCGCCCCACGTGCCCCTGGAAGTGCACAGGTCTTCGGGGTTAACTTCATGGCCTCTGAGGACGGCCTGGCTGTGCTGACCTTCGCTGGTTGGATCTTCGGGTCCAGCTGGAGGTGGGTGGAGTTCTGTGGGGGAGAGGGCAGTGGGGTGGGGCATCCCAGTAGGCAACTGCTTACCTAAATGCAAACACAGTGCAGGAGGATGAGGCTGGAGGGGCAGCGAGCTTTGGGCTCGGTCCTGTCACTCTCCAGCCCCGGACACATGTCCAAGGGCTCTGCATTGCTACTCCTCAGACCTCTCCTTAACCTCCAGGGCCACAGCGAGGGGCTGCACGGGCCCTACGGAGAGCTGGGAGCCCTGCTTTGATGGGCAGGGTGAGGACCAGCACTCTGGGGGTTCAGGCCTGGGAGGGCTGGGCCGGGGCCTGCCCAGTGGGAGTGAGTGTGGGGTGCACATGGGCTGGGGCAACTGCAAGCGAGACGGGACCCAGCGGGTTCTTTTGCAGCTGGAGAGAAAGAACAGGAGTGGGAGGGGCCCAGCCAGCTGAGGGAGAGGGACCTGCCCCTTACTCCTGAAGGCCCAGCTGTCCTAGGAGAGCGAGACCAAAGAGTGATATGGGGGGCAGCAGCGGCCTCATGCTCATCATGTGAGGGGCTCCAAGTTTAAGTAGACAGGCTTCTGCACGGGTGTCATCTGTGGGAGACACCAGGCAGGCAGGTCAGGCAGATGGCTGCTGCAGCCCTGGTGCCCAGAAGTCCTGGGGCTGGGTCTTGGGGGCTATGGGCCAGAGGGAAGGCCACCGCTCTGGTGTGCTGTGCAGCTCCTCGCAGGTCTGGCCAGATGGGGGCACACAGAAACCATGCCTGCTACCTGGGCTCTGGGGGCAGAGTGCGCTGCACTAGGCCTGGGTGGGGCCCACTCTGGTCCTGCTGGCCTGGGCTCCCGGCAGTAGCAATGTCCCCCCCCTCTCGGCTCAAGGTCAGGCTGGAGGCCAAGCTGTCCCCTGCATCTTTAGCCTCTGCAGTCTTTCCTCCAGGTCTTCAATGCTGGAAGACTCCCTCAGAGAAGAAAATCATGCTGGGGGGGGGGGGGTGTCAAGGGAATCCCTTCAGCAAAACGGCTCAGCATGAGCAGCATGGGATCCCACATTTGTCAATACAATGTGAATGCATCAGATAGGAGGCATCATCGTAATTCCCTTTTACTAACTTAGTGTCTTTAGGAAAGGTGTGTTTGTCCTCTCCAATGGCTTCTAGTCTACGATTTTAAGCAACAAACACAAGTAGATGGGACATCTGGCATGGTCCATCGGAAATTGGAAAGTGTGAAGTCACACTGCTTGGGTGAGGGAAATGGGAGGGAACCTCTCCAGAGGGAGGGCATGCAATTACCCAAATCTTAAGACAGCAATCAACACTTTCTGTCTTTTAAATTAAGCCAAGTTAAATAAAACTGACTTTTTTTTGAAACTTTTTAAATGCAGAGGTTTATTTTCTTTTCTTTTTTTGTGAGGAAGATCAGCCCTGTGCTAACATCTGCCAATCCTCCTCATTTTTCGCTGCGGAAGACTGGCCCTGGGCTGACATCCGTGCCCATCTTCCTCCACTTTACATGGGATGCTGCCACAGCATGGCTTGCCAAGCAGTGCGTCAGTGCGCGCCCGGGATCCTAACCGGCGAACCCGGGCTCCCCGCAGTGGAGCGCGCGCACTTAACCACTTGCGCCACCCGGCCGGCCCCTAGAGCTTTATTTTCAATGTTATTCCTTTTTATATAAAAGTACACAAGCTTGCCAAATGCCTGCCTGCGGATAGCGCTAGAGAGGGGCATGTGGCTGAGCTGCGTGTGGACAAGGATTTCATGCCTCTCACCCATCTCCTCTTTATCCAGCGAAGCCCTGGCAGGGTGCTGTGGGAGGTATTGTTTGCATCGAGTCTGTAAAACCTTGATGATGGCCACTGGGGGGCATCTGGCTGGGAAACTCATTTGGTTTTTCTCTTCATTTGAGGGGGAAAAAAAAAAAATCACAGAAAAAATTTTTTTCTTATTTTTATTCAGGCTTAAAATTGTTCCCAATCTAGTGGGGATACTCCATATAATTCTGGGAACTCAACCAATTCCATCCAGGAAAGAACCAAGGGGCAACGTGGATGACAGCCCAAGAAGTGAACTTTGCTAACTTTGGACACTGTGGGTTCTAGAGCGACGCTGGTCTCTGTCCACACTTCCCCTGCCCTAGGCGGGTCCAGCCTGCCCCTTTGTTCCTGAAGTAGGCACGTGGCCTTTGAAGGTTCCGAAAGAGAAGCGCTCACCAATCAGTGACCACAGCCAGGACCCCCTGCCCTAAGGAGCTCTCCTCCAGCAAGGGCGCCCTCTGTGGGCTTTGGGGGGCTGCTCTGCCCTTCCATACTCCTGGGTCGGAGATCTCTGTCCCCCTCCCATGTGAGCCACTTTCGGAGGATCGGGAGAGCCTGTTCTCCAGTCCAGCCCCTCATCCTAAAGATGGTTGCGGGAGACGGGCCAGGAACCGCGTTTCCGCACTTCTATCATTTTATTAAGCGCCGACTGTGTGCGCTAGCACCACGAGACCCACTGCGCGCAGCCTCACGCTCCGGGGCCCCAGCTCGCCCTGGGCCTGCCCGGCAGGTGGGGCGGCCCCACCTTGTGCTGGACACTGCCCGCCCCGCGCCGCTTGGTCCCCGCGGCCCCCGGCCGGCGCTCCGCCACGGCCGGGGACGGCGCCCAGGGCCACGTGCGCGGGGGACGGGTCGGGCGCGGGGTCTTGGAGTGGCACAGCCGGCAGTCCGAGGGGCCTCCTCTCGGCCCGACCCCGCGCCCGCCCCAGGTGGGGTTCTCCCCCGCGATCAGCCGCCTCCGCAGGCTCTTCCTCCAGCGGCTGTTCCCTCGGTCCGGGACTCACCGCGGCGTCGCTGGGACCCCGACCACCAAAACCCCCACGACCGCCTGGGCACCTGCCTCTGCGCCGCCGCCGTGAGTTCCGCCATGTCCGGAACTCTGTGGGCGCCCATAGCAACGGGACGTAGTGCCGTTGCTACGGGGAACTGACGTAACACGGGGCGCACACGCGCCAGCCCGTCAAGTTTGTCCCTGACCGGCCCCCGGCATCAGGCGCCTCGCCCCGACCCGCCCCCAGAACCAGCACGAGCAATCGCAGCGCCGATGCTGATGACGTCACGATCCTCGCGGCCAATCCTAGGGCCGCGGCCCTCACGCGCTTCCGTCGCCCGGGAGGAAGGGGCGTGTGTCGCGTCTGCGCAGTGGCTCTGACCGCCGGCTCGCGGCGCGTGGAGGCTGCTCGGAGACGTGCGCGTCTGCTCGGCCTCGGGTCCAGGTGGCTGCGGCGGCCCTCGGCGCTCGCGGGCCATGTCGTGGCTCTTCGGCATCAAGGGCCCCAAGGGCGAAGGCGCGGGGCCGCCCCTGTCCCTGCCGCCCGCGCAGCCCGGGGCCGAGGGCGGCGGGGATCGCGGCGCGGGGGACCGGCCAGCGCCCAAGGACAAATGGAGCAATTTTGACCCGACGGGCCTTGAGCGCGCGGCAAAGGCGGCGCGCGAGCTGGAGCACTCGCGTGAGTGTGGCGGCGCGGGCGGGGCGCGGGGCCTCCTCCGCCGAGAGCCATGTTGTGGGCGCCCGGGCTTGCGCCCATTTGCAGTCTGTAGCCCCTCGGTCGTGCGAACCGTCAGGCGGCAAGTGGCTGTCGGCAGTCTCGCTCGTCGGGTGAGGGGCTGGTCTCCAGGAATGCTCCTGCCAGAGCCACCCTGGTGGGGGGAGGTTCGGGCTTCTGTCACCCTCTCACAGCTTCCCAGCTGCCACATGTTCCTCAGGTGGAGAAACCGGTGTAGAGAGGACTTGCGGAGGTTACAGGTAGCAGGTGCCGGAGCTGGACCCTAGTCTTCGGTCACTGCCAGTGCTGGAGCTCTTTCCACCTCTTGCTGCCTCCACGTGGAACGGCCATGGCGTGGCTAGAGGAGGGGCCCGTTTGTTGGTGGTTGCTAGCAAGTTTCCACTTAAGGAGGGAAGCACACTTGAGGGTCATTGGTTTTAAGAAGAATATAGCAGATTTGCAAGTATTATTGGAAAACCTTGGCGTTCAGGTAGGCGAGTCTGTAAAGCAGCAGGTCAGACAACCCTAGCCCAGCCTGATGACTTTTTTGACCCAGGGCCTGCAAGGCATCAGCAGTGACTGGACCTTTGCTAAGCCCACGTCTTTTCTCCCAATTTTGTTTTCTCCTGTGGCCTTAACGATTTGTCTCAAGAAGTAGTGTGTGTTTAAGACCCTGGAATGTAGAAGATGGTGAATAAATACTGATTGAAACAATATAAGTGATCTCAAACTTTTGTTTAAACAGAGCTGCCTTTTTTTCAAAGGAGATCCTATAGAGAAGCCTTGTTGTAAGCAGGTATAAGCAGAGTCTTCCCTATTCAGGAGGGAGAGGCCTGGCACTTTGTTGCTCAGTCCCCGCCCTTCCCCTGGTGGCTACAAGAACATCCTGAGCCAAGGTCTCTGGGCCTGCCTGGCTCTCAGATCCCCAGGGGGCCATTCAAAACATTTAGATATTTGTGTCCAGGCCCAGGACAGCCTGTTTCCTTAGGCCTAGCTGGAACACCCCCCACCCGAGATGCTGTATTAAACTTTGTAGATAATCTTAATTGTCAGGTTGGGCTGAGAAACAATGGATGGGCTTCAAGGCACTTCAGGGGGATAACAGACTTTTGAGATGTGATCTAAGTTCTTGTTAAAGGCTTAATCGGGAAGCACCTCTCTACTCCAATTCCTGGCATTTCATCCATTCACCATGCCCAGAATTTCAAAGTTTTCCCACTTTTGGAGGCTGAATCCTGACTGTTGGCCCCCAGCCCCATGCAGTTGTACTGGCCTGTGTGAATAGCCTTGGGTGTGTCTGAGAGGAACAGCTCCCTCCTTGTCTACTCATGCCTCCGAATTGCTCCCAGGTCTCTTGCACTGGCCGCCCAGAGCTCCTGCCCCAGAACATTCTCCCCTGGGTCCCCAGGGCTTCGGCCTCTGCTCTTCTGTGATCAAGCTGTCATTTCCCCACCAAGCAGCATCTCCTGCAGAGTCCCCAGGGGCCACCGCCTGGAGTTATGGTCCCCTCATCAGTCCCCCAGTCTCCACATCTGAATACTCTGTGCCAAGTGTGGACTCTACTTCATTTTTGTCCCTGCCTTCCTTCCTGGCCTCACTGCTGGCCAGTGGGAGAGCTTCACCCTCATGTGCCACCCCTTCCTATCCTCAAACCCTTCTTCCCAGGGTGCTTTGTGCCCCTTTGCAAGTCCATCTTCTCCAGATGCTCCAGTTCACAGGCAGCAGTGCCTGCTGAGCTTGGCCTGAGCCTGCTCTTGTTCGACCTCACTGCTCTCTCCAAGCAGACTGGAGATGTCCTTGGCTGCTTCTGACAGCATGACCGCCTTTTCTGTTCCTCGGGGCCCAGCCCAACGTTGCCTTGTTCCTCAGGTCTCCTGGGCCCTCCTGCGAGGCCTGAGCAGCACACTTGGCCTTGAGCGGTCTCTGTGCCCCCGTCCACTGGGCTGTGTGCTCCAGGAAGGTGGGTGCCTAAAAGAGCTCCTTGCCTGTAGCAGGTACTAACTGACACTCTGGAAGCACGTCTCCTGGTACAGGAGGGTTTCAAGGTGATGAACTGCTGTCATTGGTATTGAAATTGCAGCTTGTGGTCAGTGGGGCACGTGGTGCCAGGCCCTGTGCTGAGCAGTTTACCTGCTTTCTCTCATTTCGCTCCTTCAGGAGTCATGGAGGGAGGGAACTCTAATCACTGCATTTTCAGGTGAGGTGCTCAGAGAGGTTAACCTGGTTTGCCAAAGGTCACATTGTGAGTAAACAGCGCAGCTGGGATTCGGTCCCAGCATTGTTGGCCTGTGACACCCGTGTTCCTGTCTGTTGAGATCTCCACTCCCTCCCAGTCTGAGTCAGCTGTTAAAGGGGCTCCCCAAGTCTGTTCAGCCCTTGGCTTCATGGCTTTCTAAGCTCACCAGTGCAGCGGGACGGGACTCTGGTGCCTTCCTTACGTGATCTGTGCCTCTGGTCACCAGAGACCCAGGGGAGAGCCTTGTAGTGGGGCTCCAGGAGGTGGCAGCAGCCCAATCCTGACCAGCTCTGAGGGTCCCCCCCAAGCTTTGACACTATGTTCATGCCAAACCGCACACCCCAGCAGACCATGCAAATACAAAAGCTTCTGCCACGCTCGTCTAAATGCGTGGGTATGCTTACAGCTGTAGTTTAATTCCAAAAAGAAAAAACCAGAACTGTAAACAGATGTTACACTTTAGTTAATGATGTGTTTGCTGAAGTTTGGGGATGACCAGTACTAGGGTCTGCAGCTTACTTTGAAGGCTTCAAAAAGTAAGATGGATTGTGGGGGGTTAGAAGGATGGACGTGTGGGAAGCAAAGGGAGCCAGCTGGGGCCATTGTAGCATTGGGGAGGTGGGTTCACGGGTCCCACCTTCCTCCAGCGCTCTCACATGGTAGAAGACTTCTTTGGTAAAATACCGTGCACGGGAGAACCATATCATCACAGAAATATTTGAGAGCTCTGATGCGTAGGGTTTTCCCGCTAGGAGAGTATCGGGAGTCTCAAATGTAGACAGGTGTGAACCCCACCTTATGAGCGAAATACATGTAGAAGATGCTTATGACACACGGGGTGAAGAACCGTCACCCAGCATGCTTTGCTTGTTTCTGATTTAATTCTCGTTTACTTATTCATCCTCCCGCCTGCTTGTGCTTGATAGCAGATCCATGATGATAGGTACTGAAGGCTTAAGAGTGTACATACCATAGGAAATAAAGGACATTCTGGCCATAGGCTTGCTTTTTGTGTAATTAGGAAACAGCCGCCATGTTGGCTCTCCTCCTCTCGAGAGGCCTAGGCCAGCCCTTCTGATGGAGCCCTCACTCCAGAACGTGACAGTCCCCTGGGGGATAGGACCTGGCATGCAGGGCTTTCCTTTGGGGATAGAGAAGACACAGGTGACGAGAAGGGGGCCTTCAGAGGGAAGGGTCACCGAACAAGGCCTGACCAGGAACGAGGGTGGGTGAGGCGAGCTGTGGTCTCCCTGGAAACCCCTTGGCGTGAGTACGTGAATGCTCGCCCGGTGCACCGCTGCCCTGATGCCCGCCCTCCCGCAGGACACGCCAAGGAGGCGCTGAGTCTCGCGCAGATGCAGGAGCAGACTCTGCAGCTGGAGCAGCAGTCCAAGCTCAAAGTGAGTGGAGGGTGGGTGCTGGCTGGGGTGGGCCGCGTGCCCTCGGCCCTGGGAGGGTCCTTGAGAGAGAAGTGCCCAAGAGCAGTGGGTACTCAGGCACCTCCTTCCCGCATTTGCCTTCTAGCTCATGGTTTGGAGGGAAACAGGGAGAGGTCAAAGACAGGCGCTGGGTGTGTGGCCTTAGTTCCTGCAGCACAACCACTGGGAAGGGCAGGCATAGGTGAGGATGGTCTGGTCTCCCCTGGCAGATTCTCACCTGGTTTCTCTGCACTCGCATAGCGAGCCTAGAAAAGGCCTACACTCTGCCCTCCATCCTTGGCTGTCGTAAAGGCTTGTCAAAAAGTGAGCACGTGACATAAGCCAGTGTGAAAACAGTGTCAAGGAGGGGAGTGATAGACACCCCAGGAGACTGTCTCATCCTTTGGGACCCAGCCCCATCCGTTTTCCTGGCACTTCTCTCTGCCCGCGGGTCTGGGTCCTCCTGGATTTGGTGCGGGTGCAGCTGAGACCCAATGGGCCTGTGGGGGTGCTGGTCCAGGCTGTGTTTTCTGGAAGTACCTCCTGCCCTGCCCAGGTGCTGCACAGACCTGTCCAGCCCCTTCGGAGCCCACCTGGGATGCAGGAGAGGGTTGTTGAGGTAGCATGGGCCCTGAGCTCAAAGTCCTGAGCGCGAGGCCTTACCAGGCCCCGGGCTCGCAGCAGCTGGTCTGTGCTGTAGGAATACGAGGCCGCTGTGGAGCAGCTGAAGAGCGAGCAGATCCGCGTGCAGGCTGAGGAACGGAGGAAGACTCTGAGCGAGGAGACACGGCAGCACCAGGCTGTAAGGGCCATGGGGTCACTCGGGCACAGGGAAGCCTGGGTGACCAGGATTGGGAGCTCTTGGGGTGCACCATGGGCCCAAATGCAGTCTGGGTCTGTTATTGACCCATCGAGGCCCTGGGATGACCTTGTGCAAACCTCTAAGACCCATGGATTCCTCAGCACTGAGTGTGATGGGGAACCCGTGTATGCGCAAGTGTGTGCTCGCTAACTCAGCAGCTGGAAGTGGGCAGCTCATCTCAGGCCCCAGCGCCAGTGGAGTCGGGGTCCAGACGTTGGTTCCGGGTGCGTCCACCTGCTTCTCCAGCTGAGCTGTGTTCACGCTGTTCTCTCCCTCCCTAGAGGGCCCAGTACCAGGACAAGCTGGCCAGGCAGCGCTACGAGGACCAGCTGAGGCAGCAGGTAAGCTCGGTGCGCCTGTACTGAGGGGCCCACGTCTGTCCCCCCCGAGAGCAGGGGGTGTCTCCTGGCGCACGTGAGCTCAGCACGCCTGCGCTGAGGGGCCCTCCTCTGTCCCCGCCGAGAGCAGAGCCTCTCCTGGGGCATGTGAACTCGGTGCGCCTGCACTGAGGGGCCCTCCTCTGTCCCC